TTCTTTCATTTATCTTTTTCTTTTTGATTGAATATACTTCTTGAAGAATATCATATCATCTTTTTCTTTCATCTTCTTACTTCTTGAGTATTTTTCATAATCTCCTTCATTCCATTCACTTGTTATTCTTTTTATTCTTTCTTGAATCTCATTTATTGTTAACCATTTGTGTTAGTTATGGGTGTAATCTTTATTATTCTTGTATTTACATTGTTTTTTTATTATAAAAAAACCTCCATATGAAACAGTGTTACAATATAAAGACATTATAATGATATTGAACAAACAAATAATGCATAAAAGTGATGGATAATACCACAAAATACCATATATGTATTAGATAAAAAGAACAAAACTGGTCTATTATTTGATATGACTATTGTGGCTGATCACAATATTAATTGAGTGTAAATGAAGAAAAGAAATAAGTATAAAGAATTAAAGAATATTCTAATGAAAATAGAAAAATTAAAAGATGTCAGAATAATTCCAGTAGTAATCTCAATCAATGGATTAATAAATAACTCAAGTGTTAAATTAATTAAAGAAATAAAAAATTGACATTAACATCGAGAAAGAAATTAAAGACCTTGTAATAAAAAACATGATTGATGTCATGGAATACAACTTCTATCACAACCAAACATACTCCGTAGAGCTGCTAGAAGAAGATGAAGACGAAGGGATGTGATTAGTCTCCCCTGAGCCAGGAAGAATAGAAGCTAGTTCTATTAATACTTAATTAATTGCTTTTTATTTTAATTTCTTTCATTGTGTGTTTATAATAATTATTTCATTTCTATTCTCTTTTATTTCTTATTCTTATTTTATTATCTTATTTTTGTTTATCATTTATTATCTTTATTAAATTATTTGTTAGAAGTATTATTGTTAAAACATGAAAATTCAAATCATAAACGAAGAAATAATAAAAATAAAACTTAATTGATTTTTCTTCTCTTCATTTTTTTTGTTATTTTTAACAAAATTCTAATAATACTAAAAATAAACTAATTATAGAAAATAACAATATTATAATTTTATTATTATTATATTATTAATATTATTATATATTTATTGTTATTGTAAAAATAAAATAAATAACATTTATTTAAAATAAAATGATGTTAAAAATAATCTTTGAATTGATGTGTTAATAATGTGTATTTACTATTTAAACATTCATATTTTGAACTTATAAACATCAATTTAAATTAAAATGAATATGGTGTATATTAAACAAATAGAAGAATGGACAGAAAAAAGAATAAATAATATATTATTTGATTCAGACATTGATGATTGGAATAAAAATACATCAGTATTTAAACAACGAATATGGAATAAAGAACATATAATAATTATTATTGAAGATGAAGATGGAAATAAATTTGGAGGATATGTTAATGAGAAAATTAATAAATATGGTAAATGGATATATGATTCAAAATCATTTGTATTTTCATTAGAATCAAATGGAAGAATAAAAGGAATGATAAAATTTGATATTAAAAAACCACAACATGCATTTTGGTTAGATAATCATTCAGATTATTGCTTGTTTCAATTTGGAAATGGAAGTGATATTTTTGTTTGTAAAGAAAATGATAAAACAAAATCATTTTGTAAACAAAATGCATTTGAATATAAAGGAATTGAAAATGCACTTTGTGGAAAAGAATTTCCATACCATTTCACACCAAAACGAATCATAGTAATTGAAATGAAATGATTCAATCTTAACTAATTGAAAATGATATAAAAAAGAATATAAAACAAAGCAATGAAGAATATGAACATTTCATTCATCTGCCAATGAATGAAATGGTGAATTAAAAATTGACATAATTCAATGTTGATTTATTTTATTTCATTTGAAATATTCACACTTAATGATGGTGTGTTTTTAATAAATATTAAAAGAAATAAGAATGAAATAGAAATAAAATGAATAAATAAACAATTTATTTGTATCATTTCATTGAATTATTTCATTATGAATAAAATGATTAAGATATTAGAAATAAGATAATTAAGTATTAAGAAAATTCTCATTTATTAATTATTTATTGTTTATTATGAAAATCATTATTCATGAAAATGTTGATTTCTTTATTTGTTGTTTAGTTTTTCTTGTTGTTTTCTGTTTAATTCTTTTTATTTCTTTCATTATCTTTTCTTCTTTTTTATTTCTTCTTTTCTTCTTCTTTGTTTGTTACTTTTTATTCATTTTTAGACATATTCTTCTTTATTTCTTATTTTCTCAATCAAACTTGTCATTCTGATTTTTTTGTTATCATTTCCTTTTTATTTAATATTATCTTCATCATTTATATCTTTTTGTTCTTATACATTCTATTTTCTTTATTATTGTTTATCTTTTCGTATATCACAACATGCTTTCTTCATTATTAATAACTAATTCAACTCGTTTTATTGATAAATACATTTGATATTAAAAAATTAGGAATAATAACAAAATAATAATTGATATATTACTGTTTTTGAATTAGTGTTATTATCTAATTCATTCATGAATTTATCTGATTATTTATTAAAGAAAATATTTATCATTTTGTTTTTGAAATTGTTGAATTATTTAACAAAATAATAATTCTCATGTTGTTTGAAAGTGAATTAAATATTGATTAATTTATTATTAGAAATATTAATGAAATGGTAGAAATGATAGAAAATAATATATTAAAAATAAATGAAGATTAAATATTCATAAACATCGAATTTCATTAATTTTTAGAAAATAAATATTTTGAAGAATAAAATCAAACATATTGAATAATAAATGCATGTTAAAATGTTATTTGATTTTGTATTTATTACTTGTTATTATGTATCATTTATCTTCAAATTGATAGTATTAATACAAAATATTTTTATTTCATTTCATACTTTATTGACATTTATTAATTGTTTGTTTCATAAATATTTATTAGAAATACATGACATAGTCGTTAAAAATATAAATTGAATGAATAATAATAAAATGAATGAGATGAATGAATATTTTGGAAATAAACAAAAATAAATTAAGAGAATAAAAGAAAGAAACAAATTACATTGTCGTAATATTAAATATTAATATTTCATAAAAAATAAGTGGAATAAAAATAAAAGAAGAAATATTCATTTCAGTTTTATCAAATTATATTCTATTATTCATTTGTTATTGTTCAATTTTATTTGTTTTTAATTTATTTGTTTTTAACTTTGAAGAAGTAAAATATTTATTTCATTTCTTATAAAATTAATAATTAAATATTGTTGAAATTTATTATTTATATATTATTCTTAAATATTATAATTTGAAATTAATAAAAAAAGAATTTATGTTTATTTCATTTATTCAAAAATTTTCTATTTGTTTTATTATTTTGTATATTTCTTTATTGTTTGGTTTTATTCTTTATCATTATTATTATATTTTACTATTTTCTTTATCATTCTATTCTTTGTCTTTTACTTTCTTTGTATAACTTATCATTCTATATTCTTACATTTCTAAAATTATTCATATAAACTCTTTTTCTTTTCTATTCTTCGGTATTTCTTTTTATTCATTTTTTATTATATTTCTTTGTGTTTATTCTATAACTTTTAAATATTCTGTATTTGTTATTCATTGGTATGAATTTGTTCACTTTTATATGTCGTTGTTTCCTGTTTTGTTTTTCAATTTATCATTTCTTTATCTTATTCTTTTCTTTTTGTTATTGTATTTATTCTAAAACTTCACTGCTATTGTTTACATTCTTTTTCTTCTTTCTTTTCTTCTTTTCTTTAAATTTACTTTCGTGTTTGTTTCATGTATATTTTCCCTATTTCTTTTGTTGTTTTCCATTATCTTATTTCTATTTCTTTATATTATTTATTTTTTATCATTTTTTTATTCTTTCTTCTTTTATTCTTATATCAACTTTCATTTCTTTATTATCTCATTTATTAGACTTCATTTTTGTTTTTTTTTTGTCTTTTCTTTTAATTCCTTATTTCATTTGTTTCTCAGTTATTATCTATTGTGTTATTCTTATTCTACTTGTTGTTTCTTTGTTTTTTCTGTTTATTTCTTATTTTATTCATTCAATTATTGTTTATTATTTCATTATTGTCTCTTATTGCATTTTATTCTTATTGCATTTTATTGTTTTTATTTCTTTTGTTTATATTATCATTCTCTGCTTTTTATGTTTTTTCTCTTTTATTTCTTTCTTCTTTCTTTTTTATTCATCCTTGTATTAAAACTTTCTTTTATCATTTTTACATTTGTCAGTATAAACATATTCTTTGAATATCAGAAACACTACAAACATAAACAAAAATAAAAATTTATTTTAATTAATTACTTTGATTCTCCTGTTATTTGATATTTCTGAAAATGTATTTCATTCCAATTTATAGTAATCAACATAGTTTGTGTATTAGTAATTCTTATTCGTGTTAGAATGTCATTTATTAGAATAGTTGAATGAGTGTTTATCATGTTTGTAGTATTATTATTTATATGTTAGAATGTATATTTGATAATTTTGATAATTTGTGTATTATCAAAGAAATGTGATATTCTTGTTGCCGTTGGTGTCGGTAAATCAAATTTTCATAACAATGTAATGCTAATATTTATTCATCATAAAATACGAAAGTAACGAATGATGTTTTTAAATACACAAGAAAATTTGAATAAAGATGAGATGACAACTTAACTGAAAAACATTTAAATTGATGAAATATGAAAAAGACATTAATTCAATGTAAATGAAGAATAGAAACTCACATGTCTTACCAATTAAAAAGTAGAAAATGGGATGAATTGATGAAATAACACTTACAGCATAGAGATGTAATTAGTCTCTAGTGAACAAAGAAGAATATATAAATATTTTATTAAGTCTTAATTAACAACTACTTTTTTTTAATATTTATAAATAGAGTTAGATAATGTTTTTGAAAATAAAAAAAAACACAATTTAAATAACAAAAAGGAGTTAAATAACGAAAATAACAGCACCATAACCAACAACCCAACCACTGTTCATTCGTTTTGTTATTGTTTCACTGTCAGTTAAATCAAGTGTGATAGCTTTAACACAACCAATAGCTTGAGCATACATCATTGTTGGTATAACGGCTGTAATTCCACAATAAATTTGATTTTCATAACTCCATTTTGATAATAAACCCTTTATATCCATTTTTTCTGTAAGTTGTATTGTTTCTTTATCTGTTTTTTCAACTAGATTATGACTTTCATCATGGAGCATATCACTGCTAGCAATAACATACATCTTTTTCTTAGAACAAACGGCTTGAAGACCCTGAGAAACTTGTTCTAATACTTCAGACTTATGAGTACCAATGAGTACCATCACAACTTTAACTCCAGGTAATGCTCGTTGAACAAATGGTAGTTCATTTTCAGCAGAATGTTCACCATTATGTGGTTTGTAGAAACATTTTAAATAATTTCTTCCTTCACAAAACATTGTAATTGCTTCATTATCAATTTCTGTTGTGGCGATTGGAGTTGAAATTGCTTTTCCATCCATTACAGCAGCACAATCAAACCTAGATGAATGACTAAACCCAAGAATAAAAACAACGTCTGGTTTTCCATTTATTTCAGAGTCTCTCTTTAAAGCAGCAAAATCATAACCAGCAGTTTGACCACTATACCTAAACCCAGCATGAGGTGAAATACATCCTAATATTTTACCTTGAATTGATGGAAGTTTATTGAGGGCATTGTTAATATAATGATCAACTTCATTTGCAAGTTCATTCCCATTAGCACTAAACCATCTTCCAGCACCAATAGCTTTTCTTATAGTCGTAGAATCCATTTTTATGATTATGAGTTGATGACTTTTTGACACGTTGAGAATAATCTTTATGAAATAATTTTAAAAACCATAAAAAATGAATTAATCTTCAGACATTCTATTAGATCGTCTTTCCCCTCGTTCTCTGAGACTCGTTGTAACTTTAGACTGATGAAGAAGTTGACCTTGTTGTCGAGGAGAAGTATTAATATTATAAACAAAAATCTTTCCATCTTCACCAGTTGAATATACAATATCATTAATAACTTCATAGTCTCTAACTAATGCAGAATGGCAATGTGCCTCAGACCTTGGTAGAAAACTATTTGTTCCTAACCAAGTTGAAAGCACTAATTTACCTGAATCAAATGAAGTTGCAGTTCCTATTTTATTATCAATCATACAACCTTTAAGAATAGTTGAAGGAGTTTCATCTCCAATTGATGTAATTGTTCTTAAATCATCTATTTGACATTCTATTGTTGATGTTTCTCCATTGTAAATAACAAAAGCATTATCATCAGAAACAATAGTAAGATACTTATTTGAAGCAACACCTAACAACCCAAGAGGTTTGCCAACATTTATTGTGTCAAGAATTCCATTATTTCCTTGAGTATAATCAATTATACAACATAAATTATCTTGAGAAGCAGACACTAATAATCCTCTCCAAAATGCTACGTCAACAATGTCATCACAATGAGCTTCATTTATAGTACAAACAACTTTCATATTTCTAATATCAAAACATTTAATATATGTTTTAAAAGAAACAGCAAGTCCAATGTCAAAAGATGCTATTGCAGTTTCTGTGAGATGATTTGATGGTTTTGTTAATATATTTGGTTGGTCTTGACGACAGTCAATACTACAAATGACACCAGTATCACTTATTGTAAAAGCAACATTTGGGTCATTTGAATTACAACTTCTTTGACCATTTACTTGATAATTTTTTTCTTGTTTTAGATCTGATGAATACCAACTCAAACTTCCATCACTCCATAAAACATTTACCCCAATTGGACTACAGTTAATTTCCAATCCATACCCATCATGTTGAGAAGACAAATAATTCATTTAAATAACAAATACAGTTGAAAAAGGGTTTTAAAAATTGAATAAAAATGTTTTTCAAAACAATAAATTAAAAGATGAAAAATCCTAAAAGTAATGAAGATAATGGAATAAACACATTATCATAATTTGGATATGAATAAAATTCAACTATTGCACCAACTAATCCTGAGATAATAGATTGAATGAAATAGATTTGTCCAAAAATAATATAGCACATTACCATTGCTCCAACTGCTCCACAAACCATTACAGCAATTGCTCCTTCAATAGTTTTAGTTTTTCCCCATGGATTTTTGAGTTGAGTTTTTCCTATCATTTTACCAATTATTTCAGCCATTCCATCACCAGTTAACATAATCATCATTCCAATTATAGATGCTGGATAATTTCTCCAATATAAAAGAGATAAAAATGTCATAATACAACAATAATTCAATGGTCCATATAACATTTCTTTATAATCACCATTTCTACAAACTGTGGCAATTAAGAAATCAGCAATTGGTCCTTTAATCCATCCCATTCCAAATATTAAAAAGACAAATAAATAAAGAATACAACACATAGATCCCCAAATTCTAGCTGTTGGTTCTTCTGAATAGCATCCCCACATCACTATTTCACATACTCCAAGAGAAATATGAACTATTTTTCTTGAAGTATAACTTGTAATAATATTTGTCTTACTCAAAGCAGTAGCAATCATAAGACAAACATTAACTAATACAAATGAAATTAAAAAGCAAGTGATGTCTAACATTTCAAAATGTTTTGTGATTAACTCATAATAAGATCAGTTTAAATATTTTGCATTTTATTAGAAATTTCAAGTTTGTTATATTTATATTATTTATCTTTAGTTTTATGTATTTCTAGAAATCCATTTTTATAAAATGAAAACCATTATTGTAATAAAGATTCATTTTTTTTTATTTTTTATTTCTTTTTCTTAGATGTTTTTTTTTTAGTTACTTTCTTTTTCTTTTCATATTTTGTATAATCATCAGCATAATAAACAATATGCTCTTCTGGAATTTTCCAGTTCATTAAATGATACCAATACTCTCCTAGATATAAAAAAAGACAATCATTGTCAATCTTTTTAGTTAAAAATTTATCTATTCCTTTCGTTTGGTGTGATTCGTTTTTGGTAATACTTTTAAGGTAATTATCAATTATTTTCTTTTTTTCTATGAGAGTTTCTTTAATGAGAGGAAAGTTAATTTTATATTGATTACTTTCTTTTTTAACTAATTGAAGTAATATGTCTTTAAGTAATTCAGTAATGCTATTAGAAGGTAATAATGAATCTATTTATTATTATTTTGTATTATAAACGTTACAAAATAAAACAAACACAAATCTTCAAATGATGAAAATTTTGTAGTTTCATGAACATTATGTAAACAAAGAAAATGAAGGACTATATAAAAGGGGTCTAGTATAGAACTTATTTTAAAAGAATTATCAGCAAGAAGTGTTGGTTTAATATACCAACAACCATATTCCAAATGAACTTGTTTTATTTCATAGAATAATTGTTTTGATGTTTCAAATAAAATGATTTTAGAATACCCCAACTTACACCAATTTTCAATCTCAAAAACTATAACTTGACTCATAGGTTCTCGTGAAATAATAACTTGTTTTTTTTTTATTACATCATTTGGTTGAGGTGTTTCAATCTCAATATCATCAAAATTATCTAACACTTCTTCATATTCACTGTTGGTTGAATTGCTTTGACTCTGTTCAGCCATTATCTATAAGTAAATTCAGTTACTTATTGAAGTGGGATAACCCTGAGAAAAAATGAAATTAACACTTTAATTGAGCTCAACTAAAATAATTGAGAAATTATAATAAAATGGTTCTTAATTGATTTAAGTTAAATATAACATAAAAGGGAAATTGTCAATATTAACTAATAACATTTTTTCATACCTTTCTTTTAAAAAAAAAGAAAAATGAAAAACTTCAATAAAAAAAAAAACAAAAAAAAAACAATGAACTTAAATAGTAAAAGAGATGGAATTTACACATAATGCATATCAACCTATTTCACTTGGAACAACAATTATTGGAGTTGTTTATAATGGAGGTGTTCTTCTTGGAGCTGATGGTAGAACTTCAATGGGAAGTATAGTAGTTAATCGATGTAAAAATAAAATTCGTATGGTTTCTGATTCTATTGGAATGTGTACGGCTGGTACTGCAGCTCATAGTGAAACGATTGGAGATTATGTTAAACACGCATTAAGAATGTATACTGCACAAACTGGAGAAGAACCAACTGTACTTGCTGCTGCTACATCAATAAAAAATATCATTTATGGAAATAAATCATTCCTTTCATCATCAGTTGTATGTGGTGGATATGATCCAGTGAATGGAGCAACATTATATCGTATACTTCAAAGTGGAGCTATGAAACAAGATGATATATGTGTTGGAGGAAGTGGTTCAACATATATTTGGGGGTATTGTGATGCTCATTTTAAAAAGAATATGACTTTTGAAGAAGCTAAACAATTTATTGTTACAGCTGTTTCACTAGCAATTTATCGTGATGGTTCATCAGGAGGAATTATCCATACCGTAAATATAACAGCAGAGGGTGTTCAGTCTGAATTTATCACTGGAGATAAAGTCCCTGTGCCACAAAATTAAATTACTATTTTTTGAAACAAATAACATTTTTTATCAATTTTGTTTTTATAAATTAGAAAAATAAAAAAAAAATAATTATAACTTTTAGTAAAAAGAGAAAAAAATATCTAACTGATTAAAAGGTTCTTCTTTTAATAGAATGTCTTCAATTCAAATGGATACCTCAGATAATGAAATTCGTATTCTTTCAAAAGAAAGATTACAATCTATTCTTACAAAAGTTCAAGCACTTGATCATTATAAACATTATATAAATGAACTAATTAGTAATTTTGAAAAAAACAATGAAAATTTTGACGAGGTATATAAAGCCGTAGTTCCTCAATTACTTAAACTTAAATTAAAAACAAAATCAGTGTTAAAAGCAATTGATTTTTTGATTGATGTTGCAGTTAAAGCAGAAAATGAATTAACTGAATATATTCTTGATATTCATTCAGATCTTACATATGCATCTGAACCATTAATTCGTCAACGAAGTGTATATATTATTATGAGAATATTAAATTCAATGCCAGACAATTATACTCTCACAGAAGATATTTATAAAAAAATAAATAAATCTCTTGTTGAACGTTTACAAGACACTCAATCAAATGTTCGTACTTATGCGGTTCTTGCTCTTAAACGTTTTGAAACATCTCAATTAGTAAATTGTCTATTAGATCCAAGAGCACAAGTTGTTGTTGCAACTTTACAATCAATAGCAATTAATTCAGAAACAATTATTCCAATTATTCGATTAGTTGGAGATAGTAGATCTATTGTTCGTGAATATGCGTATCAAACAATTAAAAATATTCCAATAGAACATATTACACATACTTCACTTTGTTATATTTTTATTCATGCCTTAACTGAAGAAAGACCAACTGTTAAAAAACAATTTGAAGAATTAGTTAAATATTGGATTGAAACAATTGAATTTGAAGAATATTTTGAAAAGTATTTCCCATTGGATAAAATTCCTCAACTCCCACCACAAGAAGGAGAGTCTGGAACAGATATGGAAAGATATATTTTATTAAGTAAAAAAATTGTTGAAGAATTTATTAGAATTACTCAATCACCTGCAGGTGTTACACTTGATGTTTCACCAACACTTGTTATTCTTCGATGTTATGTATTACTATCTCATTGTGAAGGAGATTATCCAGATGGACAAGAAGTATTAAATTGTATTAATGGAAAATCAGAATTAGAACAAATTGCATTAATGAAATTATATTCAAAATGTAATGGAGGAAAATGTAATATTTTAGAAGTTGTTAGAGGACGTTCACAAGTTGTAGTTGAAGAAGCGTTTAGGGTATTAATAAAGATGGAACCAAATGACCATTTTGGTATTATTGTTAATGAAATGCATAATATTACTGAAGATGACCAACCATTATTTTTAAAAGGATATTATAAATCATGTATTGAAGTTAATTATATTCTTCCATCAGAATTTTTAGAATATCATTTAAGACAAACATTTAAAAATTTACAATCACCAAATGAAGAGAAAAGAATGTTTACAATGGAATTTGTTGGTCTTACAGTTCTTGTTAATAAAGAAAAAGCACAACAATTTATTCCTGTATTAATTGCTGGATTATCAAAAGATACAACACCAGTAAGATTAGTTGCATTAAAAGGATTAACTGATTATTATTTATTAAGTGGAATAAATGTTCCTGAAACATTAAGAGATATTTACAATGATGCATTATTAAGTTTAAGTGAAGATTTAGAGGCATTAATTATTGTCTTACAAGGAGTTATACGATTATATTTAAATGATAGATTACATATTTCAGAAGAATCAAGTGAATTATGTCTTGCAAAAACAATGATGTCATTATTTATTCGATCAATTCCAGAAACACAACTACGATCATTATTGTTTACATTTTTTTTATGTTATTCACAATCTCATTTTGAAGATTCTAAAAAGTTGTATGAATTATGTTTAGATGAAGCAGGACCAGAATTAGAAAAAATAACTGAAGTATTTATTCCAATGTTATCACAATATGATAAAGAAATAAATACAACAATTATGGAAATGTGCATGCATAGATTAATGAGTTGGATTAAAGCTGAAGATAATTATTCTGATGAAATGATTATTAATTTAACAAGTGTTTTCTATAAATTAGATTATACAAATAATACAACTGATATTAGAGATATCTCTATTCAACGACTTAAATCAATTCAATCAGAACGTAATAGTAATGAAGTTAATTTAGCAATTAAGTCTTTAATAGAGGCATTTGAAGAATTGAATAATTAAATTTAATTTAGTATTTTTTAATGAAAAAATGAAAATATGAAAATGAAGAATAAAACCAAAAACAAAAAAAAATGGGGAAGAACTAAGAAATGCAATGTCTGATTTTGATTATATCCAAAAAAATACTCCTCCTGAATTTCCTGAAAAATTTAAAACTGCACTTCTTCCAGAAAATATTAAAAAGAATAGATATAGTGATGTTTTAGCAAATGATGATACAAGAGTAAAATTAAATAATAATGGTTATATAAATGCTAATTATATTTTTCAAGGAAGAATGATTGCGTCTCAAGCACCAACCATTGAAACTATCCCTGATTTCCTTCAAATGATTATTGAACAACAAGTACCAATTGTAATAATGTTAACAAAATGTAAAGAAAAAACAAGAATCAAAGCTACACCTTATTGGGGATATAAGTCTGAAGGTGGTAAAAAGGTTTTTGGAAACTATACAGTAAATACAATTGATACCCTTTATGATGATGTTGAAGAAGATAAATTTATGGAAGATATTCAAATTAGATATCTTCAAATTATATATGAAGATGGCGTTTATTCATTTATTCAAATTCATTATATGGGATGGCCTGACTTTGGAGTTCCATTAAATCCAAAAGATGCATTAGATATTGTTTATATTCAATATATTATTGGTACTACATCAAAATTTTCGAATAGAAATCTAGTTTGTGTTCATTGTTCTGCAGGTGTTGGTAGAACTGGGGTATATTGTCTTTTATCACGTATTGTAGAAATGGTTACTTATGAAATTCTTGAAAAATCAGAAACTTATAGTAAACAGAGATGTTTGTTCTTTTGTTTTAATATTTAAAGAATCAATTAATTAATTGTTTAATATTTATATTGTAGCAACAAGTTCTTCTTCAAAAGTAAGAGAAGTAGAAGATCGTATTGAAGAAATTTTATTAAGTCATCCTGTAATTTCTTATGAAGACTGTGAAGTAATTCTTCCAGAACTTGTTTTGTCTATTAGAAATGAAAGAAGTAAAATGGTTCAAACAAAAGAACAATATGACTTTATATGTGAAACTGTTAATTGTTTTTATGAAGATGCTTTAGACTCTATTAATCAATACTATGAAGTTATTGATGCACTTACACCACTTCTTCAAGAAAAACATTCCGAAATAGTTCAAGACTTTATTAAACGTAACGAGTTTTAATTTTCTTTCTTTTTTCATTCTTTTAGTTAAATAACAATTTTTTTTTTTTAATTAATGTAAAAAATAAAACAAAAAATTTCCATTACTTTTTTAATTTCCATTGAAGAGCAATTACTTTTGATACATCATATGTTTGTGGATAATGACTTCCAACAAAAATGTCTTCAGTAATCCCATTTGGAATATTATAATATTGAACAAAACTATTAGATATATAACATCCATCAACTTGTTTTATACCAAAACATGCATTAGTTGCAATAATCCATTTTTTTGAAGTATTTGGTGAAATATTTAATCCATCTGCTGTTTTATCTTTTAGAAAAAATTGTATTGGACTTGTTTTTTTAGGATTTGAAAGAGTAAATACAAAGAAATTTGGATCATTTTTAACCCATTCTTCAGTTTTTTTTGGTATTGGTAATTTTAATGAATTAAAACTGCCAAATACATATCCATGTTTTGTAATAATAATAACCATAATATTTTCTTTTCCACAAATACATCCGTTTAATGCCACACTTGAAAATCCATCTACCTTACTGTCATATATAAGTTCATATTCATTTAATTTTGTCCAATTTACAAATAATTCTTTATTTAATTCTATTAATGTTGCTATATTAATAATATTTTTTTGTTTTTTCTTTTTTTTATCACTCACAGGATTTATTTTACGTTTAATACCACCACCACCTTCTGTAATAATTTCATTTTGTAAAGGTACAGTCTGTTTTTCGGTTGATATTTGATTTGGTAAAGGAGGAACACAAATATTTATTGTTCCATAATTTAATATTGATAATCCAGATATTTTATGAAGAAATGAATCAACAGAAGGGATTTGGTTTTTTTCACTCATTAATGATGTTCTGAGATCTTTTTTCTCTCAATAAATATCTTTTATATTGAAAAAGAACCTGAAAAAATTATTATTTAATTTGAAAAAGATAAAAAATAATGTTTAAAGCTTAAAATTTTTAATTAAAGAGATGGACTTATTTTAACCCAATCAAAATTATAAACACGAGGAGTTCCCCAATGTTGAATTGATGGGAATAATTCCCAATTAAATGGTGGAAGTCCTCCTTCATGTGTAGGTCCACAATATGCTAATGTTTTATATTTTAATGAAGCTGCACCTATTTTACAATCTACAGCTCCAAATGGGAATTTATAATCACTATCTATTTCAAGGTCATATCGAGCAGCAATTTGATTTCGTGGTTTATTTGAAATTGGATCAGTTTTATAATGATTCATTGTCATTAATTTTTTAACATCATCAATTGAGTGAATTCTTGCACCATCTCTTGTAAATATTAAAGCACGAGAAGACCCAGTGTAATTATATTCTTTTTTTCCTAATTCCATTTTCTTTAAATACCCACTTGATACAAAAATTTCTTTAATATATGGAATATTATATGATGCCCAATATGTTTGATTAATTAATATTGGAGTTACATCTTTTACAATATATTTTCCTGGCATTTGTTCTCCAATATATAATATATTTTTCTTTCTTTGTGCATTTTTTTCAATAGAATTTAAATTAATAATCATCCATTGATTATTATATGTTCCACTATTAAATTGACCAATTGTTTTTGTAATTTCTTTAGGAGTTTGACCAAAATACATTGAAACAAGAATTCTTTGCCATGAAAGAAGAGAATTTGGTGTAATTAATTTATTAAGTTTTTTAAAAAAAAAGGAATTAGTAGTTTCCATTACACCAAATCTTTTTTGTTGAGCATTACTAAGTAAATAAAAATCATCTTTTGAATGAATTAATCCAGGACTACTTGCAAAACTCATTGGTTGAGCATTTTTAGTCCATGGAAAAAAGTAATGTTTATAAATTCTTAACATTGCATAATAAGGTCTCCATGTATTATGTGAAAAAATAATGTCATGACTTTTATTATTATATTTAACATATGCACTACATTCATGGTAAAGTTCATCTGGATTTTTATCTTGTAAATCTAACATTGAATTTTCACTATGAATCTTTTCAAATTTATCAGTAATAGTTGGTAAATCTCCAACAGAATTTAAAAGATATAACTCTTCTAATGTCATTGGTTCTTTACCAAATTTTTTATATCCATTCCATAATCCTCTAAATTGTTCAAAAATTAATTTTTGATTCTTCCAATATACATCATCATTTTCATTATTTTTAATATGCTTTCTCCAAAAATTAAATTGAAGTGACATAAATCTTCTAATATTTTTGTTTATTCCATGTTTATATTCATTTTTTTTATAATTTTGCCAATATATCCATATCCATTGATGAGTTAAATATGATTCAATATATCCTGCTGCAAATGCTTGTTCTTCTGGTGAATATTTTTTATTTGTATGAATATTTAATATTCCCCATCCTGTACTATTAACTGTATTTTCATAACTTCCCCATGCAACACTTCCACGAATTGCTCCTTTAGTTATTTCAATAGAATCACCTTTTTTAATAATACTGAATTTTTGAGCAAAAGTACAAAAGAAAAGAAAAGATAGAACAACAAATGTAAATGAGAAACTCATAAAAATATAATAAGAAGTTCTTCTTTTTTTTTAAATAAGAATTATTAAATATTGTAAATGATAAAAATAACTTATAATTGTGCAGTTGAAAAATGTAATGGTTTACATTTCACTCTTTTTCCATATCCCTTTTCTCCAACAAACATTCCATCTTTAAATACTAATTTACCTCTACAATATGTTGCAACAGGATAACCATGCATCTCAAATCCTTCCCAAATAGTATGATCTACATTAGAATGCATATTATCAACACTAATTGTAAATTTTTTATTTGGATCGTAAAGAACAATATCAGCATCAGAACCTATTCCTAAACATCCTTTTTCTGGATAAATACCAAATAATTTAGCTGGATTTGAACAACATACTTCAACTACTTTATTAAAAGTTAAAGTTCCTTTATTTGCTTCAGAAAGCATATAAGGAAACATATTTTCTATACCACTACATCCATTTGGAATCTTTGTAAAATCATCTTTTCCCCATTCTTTTTCTGATAATTGAAATGGACAATGGTCTGTTGCAACTGTTTGAATAATTCCTGCTTTTAATGCACTCCAAAGTGCTTGTCGACTTTCTTCTGTTTTCATTGGTGGAGAACAAACATATTTTATAGCATCTTCTTTTTTAAAAACATCATTTGTTAGTTCAAGGTATTGAATGCAAGTTTCTGCAAATATAGGATATCCTTCTTTTCTTGATTTTTCTATAATACTAATAGCACCTTTTGATGATAAGTGTACAATATAGAGTGGTGCACCAACTGACTTTGCTAACGTAATTGCTCTTTGAACAGCTTCTTCTTCTACAAATTCAGGACGAGATTCATAATGATACCATGCAGATAATTTTCCTTCTGTTTTAAAGTCTTCAGTTAATGTATCAATTACTCCTTTATTTTCTGCATGAACTCCTAATAATCCTCCTGATGACTTTGTCTTTTTAAGTATTTTATAAAAAAGACCGTCTGTTACAAAGAAATCGTAAACCATAAATACTTTAAAACTAGAGACTCCTTCAGCTATTACTGAATCAATAGAATCTAAAAGTTCATTTGTACTAACATCTTTAATTGCAATATGAAATGAATAATCAATACATGATTGATGTGATGCAAGACTATCTCTTCTTTTTAAAGTTTCTATTAAATTCTCCCCATTTTCTTGAAGTGCAAAGTCAAATACTGTTGTTGTTCCACCACATGCAGCAGCCATGGTTCCATACTCATAGTCATCAGCAGATATTGTTCCACCAAAAGGCATTGCAAGATGAGTATGTCCATCAACTGCACCTGGTAAAATTAATAATCCAGATGCATCAACAACTTCTATACCTTCTGGTAGAGTCAATTCACTACCAATTGCAGCAATAACACCATCTTTTACATATATGTCAGACTTAAAACTTGAGTCAGTAGTAATTATAGTACCGTTTTTGATGATGAAAGTCATTTTTTATTCTATTTACAGTTCAACATATCTATTTATATTTATAGCTAAAAACTATAAATTGATTATTATTTAGTTTTGAACAATTCTTAGTATTTATCTTCAAAGAATATTATCGAAAACCATGAAACTTCATACAAAAAAAAACAAAGTTTATGATCCATTTTTATATAATTCACTTTATCTATTTTAAAATATTTTTGTTCTAAGAATAATTTGATGAAGGTTTTCAATATTAAATTCAAAGAAATAAAAGCACATTTGTTCTATCAATTCATTGAGAATAGCTAAAACAATTTGTTTTAGTACTCAAAATTCATAAAATTTTCTTAATGAACTTCTAAATGAAGTAAAGAGGGTATTAAATTTATAAAAAGTGAGTGAAAGGGAGTTGTATTTTTTTTTATAAAGAAAATGTGCAATGTTTTGACTTACAAATATTCATAATTTTGACAAAATCTTTCCACCTTTCATCATTCCTTCAAATCCTTTCTCATAATAAAAAAAAATAATTTGTCTCATAATAGTAATATCATATCTCAATTGTTGAATTGTTATCTTATACAATTTATTAGGATTTATTGTTTAGTATGTTTTATATTCATATAAAACATTTGAATTTCCATAACATTCATTCATATTATAATGAATTTTTATAATTGACTGACACAATGTTAAACTTTAAATTAGATAACAACTTGAATCACAAATTATACTGCGTGATACAATCTTTCTTTCATTTCCTGAATCCAATGATAGAATATGTGTTGATATTTTATCAATATATGACATATTATCAGGTATTGAATGGTGGTATATACTTAAGAATTGGTGATATAAATCCATATATTTAAATATTTTTTTTCCTTCGATTCACAGACAAAACCAGAACAATCTAATAAATATAGTCCAATTTCAAATCTGTTTTTCTTAATACTTCAACAGAAAATGCGTCATCTCTTATTCTTGTTTTGTCTGAACCAACAACAGTAAATGCCATTTTCATGTCTCTTCTCATTTTATAATCCAATTCTTTAATAATAAAAACTAGTCTTAATTCTTGACCAGACTTTCAAATTGTTTGTTGTGGTAAATTAATTTCAATTACTAAACAACAATTTTCTTCATTATAACCATGCTTACATTTTATTTTATTTGTTAAGACATTTTGGAGTTTTATATACTTATCTTCCTGAATAATATCACAATCATTTATCTTAGATAATAGATTAACGCCAAAACATTCTTTATTTTCAGTACTATATTTAGATATAATGTTTTTTGTTATTACCATTGTTAATTATTTTTATTTGATTATTCTTTCTTTGATATGTTTGATGATTGCCTCTATTTATTTGAATTAGCTGTTTCTTTGATAATGTTGAAAGATTAGTTGAAATGTATCGAATGAAGGATCTAGATTCATTTATGAGAAAAGGTTAGTTGTTTGGTTCTTAATAGATAATAGACTCTAATTCAAGTCTGCTCGTTGAAGAATATTCCAATTCAATGAAATCTGGTGGGTGATTATTTTGGAAGTTGTTATGTTCATTTGTTTTGAATTTGATTCTTAAATGATCTTTGATGTTGTGGTTAATAAATATTGAAACCCATGTATTATGTCAAGAGAGAGATATTCAAAAAATGGTGTTTTGTTTTCAAAAACATTAATTTCTTCTTCTCCTTCCTACGAGTTATTGTCAACATCAATTATTCTCTCCATTAACAGATAACCAAATTGAATTTTCACTTGTTTATTAAAACAAAATTTGAATGACAATTTAAAATTCTTTGAAATATTTTTGTTTTTTATAAACAATTTTTATTGTTTGTTTTAAATAACATAAATTATTCTAAACGATATAATTATCATCAAATTCTTTATATTCTTCAGTTTCTATTTCACCACTATTCGTTGACCATAACACTTTAAACTTTAATACATAACATAATACTGCAGTAAGACACCCCAGTAAAGAACCTGCTATAATATCGTCATAACCATGGAAATAATCTCTTACTCTAGAAATAGCAACTATACATCCAAATAACAAAGGAAGGCAACATCCAACTAATTTCAAGATTGAACCTTCTCCATTAAATATTTTGTATTCTCCACATAATAATAATGTGAGAAACATCATTCCATTGAATGTTGTAGAAGAATGTCCACTTGGAAATGACTGATATACTTTTGATGCTTTTTTATTATCAATAAGTGAATAGTAATTAGGACGAGGTTTTCCTGCAAACAGTTTGAAAGCATTTGTTAAGAATAAACATAATGAGACTGCAAAGAAGAAAGAAGTTATTGATGTTATGAAGTACTTTGATGAATTTCTTTTCTGTGCAAAATAGAAAATAACAATTACTGGAATACACCATGAAAAAATACAACAAAACAAAAAGGGGAATGTTTCAGAAACTAATGGATAAGTCACATTAAAATTCTTTCTCTCAAGAGGAATATCCATCTGATATGATGGTAAATATTTTAGAAGAATTCCTCCAACAAAAAGAATAACACCAATACTAAATTCAATTACTAGTGTTTTGGTGCATTGTTGTTTAATCGATCTAAAATTTAACATTTGATTAGGAGTTTAACCTATTACTAACAAAAAAAAGAAAACTATTAAATAATTAGTAAATGAATTTCATTGAATCAATCAACAAAAGTGATCTTCAAACTAATTTACAATATCTATATCAAATACGCATTCAAATCCAATCAAAGAAGGCACAACTGACTCTTCAACGTACAAACTTACGAATCAAATATGAACAAGAAATGTATGAGTTATTTGAAAAAAGAAAAGTTCTTCTCAATTAGTTTTTTTTTTAATTTTTAATTTTTTTCTTATATTTAACTTTTTGAAACTTTTAATCTACGAAGAAATATTCTGTCTATTGACACAAAAAAGAAGGTTTATTAACTTTATAGAACATAATCACAACTCTTCTATCACCACAAGTTCAAAATAAATCCTTTTATTGATCACAAAGGAATAATAAAAGGAGAATAATTAGAACATTAGAACCAAAATAGATTTAAATAATAGTCTAAAATATATATTGATTTAAATAGTAGAATTATTATTTTTAAACACAAATAAATAAATATTTTATCTTTCATTTCATTTATTTTTATAATTCATATAGTCAACGACAAAATTGTTATTTCTTTTTTTTTGAAAGAATTAATCTGTCAATTTGTAATTTCATTATAATGAAATTACAATACTTATTAATTTTTTAATGAAAAGCATAGGAAAGTCAATGAATAATTTCAGTTTCATTAGATTTATTATCCGTATTGAATATCAAATATTATCCCATGAATAGTAGTGTTATTCAAATGTTTGTAAAATTAAAAAAGTTATTATAATACAAGAATGTTTTGGTGTTATATGCTTATTTATTTAATAGTTTTTATAAATTGCTTATTTTAATATAATGGTAGTATTAACCTTTTTATTATAACTCTCAAATCGTCTCAATAAACGTATAATAAATGTCTTTTTAGTTATTATTAAATATTAAATTTTAATAATGGCATTATATAACTTTTATAAAGTGGTTTAACACAGACTCTAATTCCATTAAATAATGTATTAAAACTAATTTTTAACATAAAAACATTGGTTTACTAATGTGAAGAATTGTTAATTTTTAACGTTTCTTCTTCAAAAAGAATATATATTTTCCATTTGATATTGGAGAAAACATTAGTAATTGATTTTCCATTTCTTGCATTGTTAACATAATAAAAGAATGTAGTGAGTTTACAAAACACCTTTTTCTTTTTTTTAATCTTTTTTTAACGTTCGTTGAGGTTTTAAATGTGGAATATTCATTGTGATATAATACTATATTATTCTTTGTAACATGAGTTTGAACCAAATACTAAATGAATTGATTTAATATATATCCAATATTATAATCTATGATTTTTTCTTTTCTAAGTTATATATAATATAATAATTCTTTAATCGAAAAATATAAATAAGAAAAATGTAGTTCATTTTGGCTTACATTTTCATTATGATTGTTAGTTATATTTTTATAATAATTTGTTACTAAAACCTATTATCAGTCATTTTTTTTATTTAATGATTAATTCCCAAATTCATTAGGTTATGAATAAATATCTTTTTCATCAAATTAAGTATTTTTGAATTAAGATAGTTCATGTTTATTTGTATGACTACTCCTCATTCAAATGAATAAAATTATTATGTAATTTTTAGCGTTATTTTCATTTTAGTAATGACTGATTTTATTAGTTTAGATATTCATATTCAAATTGTTTGTTTAAACAATGTATTGAATAAATTGGAATATAATCAGTAATTTAATTGAATAGGAAGTTAATTTTTTAAATATGTAAAACGGTGCTAACGAAACACAAATTCATAAAGTAAAGCATATGTAGATTCTTTTCTTGATATATATAACACTATATCACTGAATCACTGAACTAAAAATGAAAAATATTATAGAAATAAAAATAATAAAATTATTATAACTTATAGTTTGGATTTTTCTAATAAAAAGAACAGAATGGAAATATAACAAACTATTAAGTTATCTTACATATCACTTCCATATTTTATCTGTTTCTTTCTAACGAAAATGATAACGTAGCCAACACCAACAATACTTACGTTACATTTACTGTATTTAAGAACATTTAAGAATTGATAGAAGTTAATCTTCATGAAGAAGATAAATAGTAATTACAATACCTAATAAACTAAATGATTGAACTTACTTTTGGTGGTGTTAATAAAACAAATGAAAAAGAATAAAGAAAACGAGTGTTTTATATTTGTAATGATTTTAAAGTCATCGAAGAAAAATGAAAAATTTGAAACTTAAACAAAAATGAAGTTCTTTCGCTAAAATCTCATAAATTGAAAATTATTTAAATAAAATCAATATGAACAAACACTCTTATATAGATAACAGAAACTACCAGTCTAAAGTTAGAGCATTTTGTATTGCACTACTAAACCGTCATTGTGATATTAATTTAAAGAAAAGAAGTTGTCGTAAATTACTTACTATTCCCTTTCTTCAAATACAAAGATTGTATTTTAGCGATGATAATGTTATTGACTTACAAGCACTAATTAAAAGAAGAGTATATAGCTTAGAAGAAAAAGATATTAAAAATAATATTAATACACAAAGAGCATTCCACAGAAAGAAAAAGAACGGTTACAGAGAATCTATCAATATTATTAATGACTTACTTTCTGAATTTGGGTATTGTATTCATTCATCACAAACACCAGGAAGATACAATACAGTTAAAATGGATATTGTTAAGTCAATAACATTTAATGGAACAATTTACGATAAAATTGCGATAGAAAGAATTGGAGAAGAAATGTGTAAAGAAATAGAAAAGAAATTCGGAAACGAAAGAACTTTTGTTCTAAAACAAAACGACAACACACTATCTATGTTATTAAAGAATGGATAACCATCTCTAATTTTTTTATAGAGATATTCAAACCATCTGCTATAAAAAAACTAAAAACTAAAAAAAATTACAAAATCTTTCAACAAAAATTATTTTTTGTAAAACATTTTTAATTTTTTTGTTTTATAAAAATTCAAAAAATCAAAATTATCTAAAGAAAAATATTACTACAAATAATAGACTAAAATTATTTTAAAATTTTTCTTTGAAGAAATGATCTAATTAACGATATAATAATAAATGACGGTTAATCATATTATTTTATGTTCAGATAAAAGAGGTATAATTATTACATATCCTTTATTTCCTGAAGGTGGGTATAATTATAATTCTATTCCTCATATCTGTTTTGGTGATTGTCCAGGAAAATATAATTATTTTACTGTACCTTGTTTTTCAATTAACCCACCACTCTATGGAATTGCATGGTTTAATAAATATAACTACTCTCAATACCTTCCAGGACCAGAAAATCCAAGGGAAGATGAACAAATAGCATTATGCATGATCACTTCATCTCCTTATCTTCATTTATTTCTTCAACGATTCAAACCATTAGCTGATTTATATTTCATTCAAAATTCATTTATTAATAACTCATTAATTCAAACAATTTTTAAAACATTAAATTGTTCAATGAATGATCCTATTTATACATTACCAGATCCTTGTTCATTGATTAATACTTGTGGTAAAGATATCTTATTTTTGATTAAAATGTTGTTATTAAAATGTAAAATTTGTGTAAATAACAAAGTAAGTTCAGATATCAACTCTGAATGGGTTCTTGCCTTATTATCATTCATTCCAGGTGCTTTATTTCCTGCAACAGATAAACTTAAATCAATTGGGTTTGTTACACAAACAAAACAATCAATACTACATTGTCCTCTTTCAGAACTTGAGTTAATAGAAAGTGTTGAAGTTTTTGGTGGGACACATCCAATTTTCAGAGAAATGGCTGAAATCGATTGTGTTGTTACAGAAAAAGGAGTGACTGTAAATGGTAAATATAAAAAACTGCTTGGACTAACCAAAGCAGATAAAACCTTTACCCAACAACTACTTAATGCATCTCATTCTATGAATTGTTTGTAAAAAAAGTGTTTTTCTTTTTTAATAAAGTAGTAATACTAATTAGTTTAGATGATTTATCCATTGATTTAATCTTACAATATATTATTGGGTTGATATCTGTTGCTGTTAAATCAAGAGGGAGATGGATTGACTCACCAGACGTTATGAATTATGGTTCTTCATTTGTAGAAGAATTTAAGAAAACGGAATTCTTTAAATCATTGCCATCAAAAATTGAAATAAATGCTAATCATCCAGCAAAAATATTAAATACATTTATTGACTTTAATCCATATAAAAAATCAACAACAGTTAAGGTAAATACTATTAGTGGAACTGCATTTCCATTGTATAAAAAATATTTACATTCAAATCAATCGTAAGTCATTTAAGCATCATTCATTTCATCTTCTCTTTTTTCTTTTTTTTTTCTTTTTAAAATCTTAAAATGTTACTTTATGTTTTTATACAAACCAAAGGTAATTTCTACTACTTCTTCAAATGAAAAAGAAGAAATCATCAATTCAGTTTCTGAAGAAATTTATCAAAGACTTTATGGAAGACATCTTTCTTCTTGCTCTTTTAGAAATAAAAGTATTGAAAATAGTTTATATACACTTCCTCAAAATGAAGAGCTTGAGTTAAAATATTTATTAAAAAAAACAGACTATTTTGAACGTAAGTTCAAAATCAAAATTCAAAATGAGACGTTATTTTATTTATATAATGATTCATGGTATAAAACATTCTTTCAAATAAAACGTGATGAAATTATCAAACAATGGGAAGATGTTAAAGAAGGAGAAGTAATCATTACTTCTCAAAGATTTGTCTTTGTTTCAAATTCTTGTGAAACAAAACAAAATGTTTATGATATTCCTCTTGGAGTTTTATTTTCACTATCAAGTTCAAGTGGATATATTACAATTGAATTAAATCCATTCTATTCTGCATTGTATAATGAAACCATTTGTTTCCAAGCAAGTAAGTCAGTTTGTGATATTATTGCAACAGAAATTAATGATATTCGGTTTGGTATTCGGTTTGGACAAGAATCAGCAACAGCTTTCATCCAAAATACAGAAAGTTTTGTTTATTTATTTAATTTTTATAAAACAAATATTAATCATATAGGATATGATCAAGAATTATATTATAATCCAAACTCTAAATATTTCAAAGTATATCAAAATGATAATTATGATTTATGTGATACTTATCCAAAAAATTTAATTGTCCCAGTTAAAATTACAGATGATATTATTAAGAAATGTGCTGAATTTAGATCCAAAAAAAGAGTTTGTTTTTAGATGATTTTGAATTATTAATTGATTCAATAATAAATAATTCCTATAGATACCAATTTGTACTTATTTTAATCAAGTTACTCATGGAGCTATATATCGATGTTCTCAACCACTAGTAGCTAATTCTTCATATTTTATTGGAGTAATAAAAGACAGTGTTTCAAAAGAAGATCAAGAATTTTTATCAGAAATTAGAACTATTGGTAAAAATGATGATGCTATTTTATATATTTTTGATTGTAGACCAGTAACAAATGCATATGCAAATAGAGTAAACGGAGGAGGGTATGAAAATACAAATGCTTATAAAAAGACTCAACTTAAGTTTTTAAATATTCCAAATATTCATACTGTTGTTGATTGTTTTATTAAAATGAGAAATGCTCTCTTTATTCGTGATACACTCACACCTCTTTCATATTATCGAGATACATCAGAATGGTTAGACCTTTTGTTTGGATTAGTAAGTGCTATAATTGATGTTGTTTCTCTTGTCCAAAAAGGAGAAACAATCTTAGTTCATTGTAGTGATGGATGGGATCGAACAGCCCAAATATCATCTTTATGTAGATTAATACTCAGTAAGGGATATAGAACAACAAAAGGGTTTTGTGATTTGATATATCAAGAATGGATATCTTCTGGTCACCAATTCCAAAAAAGGCTTCATAACAAAACAAATGAAAATTCTCCTATTTTTCTTCAATTCATTGAAGTTACTGCTCTTTTTTTAAGACACTCACCACAGGCATTTCAATTTAAAGAAGACTTATTAGTAAAAATAGCAGAAGAAGCAACATGTCCAACAACAATAACATTTGTTAGAAATTGTGAAAAGGAAAGAAGTGCTTTAAGTTGTGACAATTATTTAGAGTTCTTTACTCAAGAATTAAAACATTATCCAACATCTTTTGATTCTAATAAATTAGAGCCAATTGATTTAAATTTTAATGTACACGAGTATGTTGTATGGAATAAATATTATTTACGTGAAACAAAAGTTATTATTCATTAATTGAATTTATTTAACAAACTTAAAAACTAAAAAAAAAAAAGCGTACTAATAATTAAAGTTGATTGTAATATCCTTTAGCCCGATGACAGAAGACTGATATAAATAATAAAATTGTAAGAATTACTGCAGTGATTGTAATAAAAAGATAAACTCCTGATGAAAGGAAAAAGAATATTCCAAGTGGTTTTATAATTCTATCATAACAACTTGTATTACATTCATCTGTTGTATAATTTTCATTTAAATAACAACCACATACTTTAGTAACTTTGTTATATCCACAACAAGAATACTATCATATTATTTCTCTTAATTTTATTAAAATGAATAAATAAAACTAAGCAAACATATTGTTCAAATGCATATGACATAATAATGTTTTGAACTTTATTCCATAACTCTTCAAATGAACTTTTATACATATTTTTATATCCAACACCTCCAAAACAAATGATTCCACCAACACACAATACACCAACTATAACAACTAAAACTGCAATTATCATTTTTACAACACGGTTATTAAAACATGAAATACATGTTACAATTATAAAAACAATAAGAATAACACCAGAAAATGCTATTGAAACATATGAAGTAATTATATCAATTTGAGCATCTTGTATATCAAAGTCATTCATTTTAGATGTTGATATAACTTGCAATAAACCAAATATAATAGCAAGAATAGAGAGAATCTAATTTATGAGAGTGTTCAGAATATTTAATAAAATAACAAACAATTCCAACACCCGAAACACAAAATGTTAAACAAGAACTACACCCCATTTAAATAAGAAGAACTTGATTAATTTAGTGTTTTAAGTTTTATTATTATTTTTCAAAACAATTAAATAAATTAATAATAATAAAAATAGTAAAATGTTAATTTACAAGAAAAACTGAAAACTAATAAGATTTGATTCTTTAAGTAAGACATGGAAGGATGTAAAAAAGATCAAAGGAAATTACCATCAAAATTACTCATAACTACATTAAATTCTATTCAAAGTGTTCTCCCAAATTCAACATCAATTTATGTTGTTTCTGTTGATTCAAAATCTGTCAGTTATATTGGATCTTTTTTACAACCTAAAAAAAAGAGAGAAAAGAAGAGAAATTCATCATCACGTGAAAGTGTTTCTTTTGAAGAAGTATTAGATTCTTTATCTCAATTAATTGTTGCAACTGTTAATGTTGGAAAAACATATGAAGAAACTGATACATTAAAAACAATGCATCTTCAAGGAAGAGATTCAATGATTTCAATTATTTTTAATAAAAAACAAAGTATTGTTTGTTATTATTCATTTAATAAATGATATACTATTATTTATATTATAGTGTGTTGTAATTGATTCAAACATTAATGAGTTGTGTTATGTATTTGATGATCAAATTCAAATTCAATGTCAACCAATATTTGATGCATTAGAATAATATAATTAATTTCATTAATATAAAAACAAAATAAACATCAATTTAAAAAAAAGAATTTAAGTAGTTTAATTTTAATCTTTTAAAGAATTACCCCTTAATGAAAATACCAAAAAGAACGAGGAATATGAGAAATAATAAAATGTTTTGAGTAGCCATCATTTTTTCTTTAAAAGTAAGTCCAACAACACAATCACTAACTTTACTAACAATACCCCTATTAGTATCTTTAATTCTTTGTTCATATTCAAATTTATCAACATATGATTGAATAAGATGTCTACATTCTTTTTCATATTTTAACATTAAATCTTTTTCTTTTTCATCACCTTTCTTTTTTAAAAGAATATTAGCTTGAATAGTTAAAATAGATTCATTATTTTTAGATAAATTTAAAAGAAGTCTAGTTTCAGTTGAATAATAATCTTGAGAATCAAGATAATTTCTAATAGATCCAATAATTAATGCTGATTTTTTTAATTGATAAAATTGTTGAATTTGAGCTCTTGTTGTTACTTTTCCATTAGGAGTATCAACTGGTTCAATTGTATTAATATTTCTAGTAAACCCATTTTGAATACTTTTCCAATCAGTCATTTCTATATTTGTTTGCCCTAATTCTTCTCTTAATTTAATTTGTTTTGAACGTGTTTTATTTTCTACAAATGTATTGAAAAATTGAAGAGGAGTTATAGGAATAGTTGTTTCAATAATAGTTTTCATCTTTGGTTGTTTGAAGAATTTAGGTTCTGGTACTTCATCATCAATAAATTCAATTTCACCACTTGAAGCAGGTTTACCTGAAATTTTTTCTATATACTTCTTAATCATTACATCAATATCTTTCTTTGCATTATTAACACCTTGACTTTCAATAGTTCCTTTTAACATAACTTTTTTTAAGAAAACTACTGCAAAGTCTTCTACAAAATGACATTGTTTTTCTCCTTTTGGTGAAATAGTAGTTTTAAATTCAAGTTTAAATGAATCTCCATAAGGAACATCAGGTGTTTGATTAGTAGAACATATAATTAAATTATCTCCTTCAAAATAATATATTTCATTAACAATGGCATGTGCAGAAGATGGTCCAATAGGTATTCCTTTTAATGGAACAATAAAGTCTTGACTTCTAACAAATCCAAATTGTTCACTTACTTCCCAATCAGAAACATTGATATTTGTTAACTCTTTTTCTGCAAGTATTTCTTTAAACTTTTCTTTAGCTTCATTTCTAACAAATTTTTCATAAAATTCTTTAACAGAACAATCTAAATCAGTTTCTCCTCCTGGTTGGAATTCAGTAGCAGTTAAAAATCCTTCATACGAAACTTTTTTTGGTACAGATGGTGGTAAACTTTGTGATATAAGAGTATTAACATTTGAATTAATAAATGGAGTAGGAGATGAAGAAACACTACTTTGTGCAATTTCTGAAGGTGTTCCATTAATAATTGAATCATTAGAAATATCTGATGAATCTTCTGATTTTTCTACTTCAGATTCTGAAGTCATTAACACTCTATTTGTTAAAGTACAATAATTATTCCAGTGTTGAGTAACAATTTGAATAAATTTTTCTGAATTTTCTATTCCACTAATTTTAATGTTTGAATTATTTGATTTAACAAATAAAATTCTAAGTGATTTACCTTTTGCTTTAATACCTGAAATATCTTCAAACTTCCAAACATCAGCATTAAATTTTAGAAGTTGAGGCCAAAAACAAATATATCTATTAAATACATATAATTTCCCTAATTTTGATATTGATTGTTTACAACTACATTTAAATGCACAAATTAAACTTTCATTATAAGGAAGTCCAAATCTATGAATATATTCTGTCATTTTAACTTTTTCAATTAAAATAGATGGAGTGAATAGAGGATCAAGTGATTGCATATTTGTCTTATTATTTTTTAAGTTTTCATTTTGATTTCTTTTATTTTTATTTTTTTTTTTTTTTTTTACTACTTTATCTTTTTCTTATTTCCACTAATTTTTACATTAAATTATCTATTAAAAAAAAACAATTGAATTTAGGTTAATTTCAATTGGTTTTGAATTGAACCAAAAGTTTTTATTTCATTTTATTGTTTAAACTCTTTTACATTTTTCTCTATTATATTAAAGAAAATAATTATTAAATTAAAATCTTTTCTTTATTAATTATAATCATTTTAACAATTTCTGAAATTAAAGGTAATAACAAATGTTTAAAACAAATTCATTTGGTTGTTATAATTTAAATCCTTTTGCAACTTTTTCATAATAACAGTTGAAGTGAATTTATTTACATACAAATCTAATTTTTCATTCCATTCAAAATTGATTTGAATCAAAAAAATTTCATTAATAATATTTACATCTCAATACATAACACCGTATCTCCTTGTTTAAACCGAGAAAAACAAGTTATATTTCTAACAAACAACAAATAATTCATTAATAATTTTATGGGTAATGGTTATTCTATTTATTGATAAACTTTTTCTTAAAAATATCAACTTTTCAATAAGAACCATCAAAATACTATTTGATAAATGTTCTATTCCAATTATTTTTATTTGTGGGTACTTTAAAGAAATAAGAATAATAGTGAGCTAAGTTATTACTATTAAAGTTGCTCAAACAAGTTATAACACCTCAATGCGACAGGAAAGTTGTTTTATCGTATTTTTTTTTTATTTCTTCTATGAAAAAATCTCAACAAAAAGGAACAAATTGAGTGATTGAACTTTTAGTATTAGAATTTCAATTTTAGACTGAACAAAAATAAAACCCTGCCACGTAATACTCTAATTGAAACTCGCTCAATTCTTCTAATTTGATGAAATTTACCTTTTTTGAAATAAAAAAAAGGTATATTTAGCGAATCTTTTTTCAAAAAATGCTTTACAAACTTATTCTTAACCTAACCCGTTTTTTGGATCAGATATTTAAACCTGCCTTAAAACTAAATTATTCATTCAAATCAAATAAGTAACATGTCAACACAACAAACTATGACTGTAGATGAACATATTAATCAACTTGTTGCTAAAGCACAAGTTGCACTTAAAGAATATCTTAAACCAGAATATACACAAGAAAAAATAGATTATATTGTAAAGAAAGCATCAGTTGCAGCACTTGATCAACATTGTGCACTTGCAGTAGCTGCAGTTGAAGAAACAGGAAGAGGTATTTTTGAAGATAAAGCTACTAAAAATATATTTGCATGTGAACATGTTACACATGAAATGAGACATGCTAAAACAGTTGGTATTATTAATGTAGATCCACTTTATGGAATTACAGAAATTGCAGAACCAGTTGGAGTTGTTTGTGGAGTTACACCAGTTACTAATCCAACATCAACAGCTATTTTCAAGTCACTTATTTCAATTAAAACTAGAAATCCAATTGTATTTTCATTCCATCCATCAGCACTTAAATGTTCTATTATGGCAGCTAAAATTGTTAGAGATGCAGCTATTGCAGCAGGAGCACCAGAAAATTGTATTCAATGGATTGAATTTGGAGGAATTGAAGCATCAAATAAATTAATGAATCATCCAGGAGTTGCTACTATTCTTGCTACAGGAGGAAATGCTATGGTTAAAGCAGCATATTCATCAGGAAAACCAGCACTTGGAGTAGGAGCAGGAAATGTACCAACATATATTGAAAAAACATGTAATATTAAACAAGCAGCAAATGATGTAGTTATGTCAAAATCATTTGATAATGGTATGATTTGTGCATCAGAACAAGCAGCAATTATTGATAAAGAAATTTATGATCAAGTAGTTGAAGAAATGAAAACACTTGGAGCATATTTCATTAATGAAGAAGAAAAAGCTAAATTAGAAAAGTTTATGTTTGAGTTAATGCATATTCAGCAGATGTTAATAATGCAAGACTTAATCCAAAATGTCCAGGTATGTCACCACAATGGTTTGCTGAACAAGTTGGAATTAAAGTTCCAGAAGATTGTAATATTATTTGTGCAGTTTGTAAAGAAGTTGGACCAAATGAACCATTAACAAGAGAAAAATTATCACCAGTTCTTGCTATTCTTAAAGCAGAAAATACACAAGATGGTATTGATAAAGCTGAAGCTATGGTTGAATTTAATGGTAGAGGACATTCAGCAGCTATTCATTCGAATGATAAAGCAGTAGTTGAAAAGTATGCACTTACAATGAAAGCATGCAGAATTTTACATAATACACCATCATCACAAGGAGGAATTGGATCAATTTATAACTATATTTGGCCATCATTTACACTTGGATGTGGATCATATGGAGGAAATTCGGTATCAGCTAATGTTACATATCATAATTTATTAAATATTAAAAGACTTGCAGATAGAAGAAACAACCTTCAATGGTTCAGAGTTCCACCAAAGATTTTCTTTGAACCACATTCTATTAGATATCTTGCTGAACTTAAGGAACTTAGTAAAATATTCATTGTTTCAGATAGAATGATGTATAAATTAGGATATGTAGATAGAGTTATGGATGTATTGAAAAGAAGAAGTAATGAAGTAGAAATTGAAATTTTCATTGATGTAGAACCAGATCCATCTATTCAAACCGTTCAAAAAGGACTTGCTGTTATGAATACATTTGGACCAGATAATATTATTGCTATTGGAGGAGGATCAGCTATGGATGCAGCTAAGATTATGTGGTTACTTTATGAACATCCAGAAGCCGATTTCTTTGCAATGAAACAAAAATTCATTGATCTTAGAAAGAGAGCATTTAAATTCCCAACAATGGGTAAGAAAGCTAGATTAATTTGTATTCCAACAACATCAGGAACTGGATCAGAAGTTACACCATTTGCAGTTATTTCAGATCATGAAACAGGTAAGAAATATCCACTTGCTGATTATTCACTTACACCATCAGTTGCTATTGTTGATCCAATGTTTACTATGTCACTTCCAAAGAGAGCTATTGCTGATACTGGACTTGATGTATTGGTTCATGCAACAGAAGCATATGTTTCAGTTATGGCTAATGAATATACTGATGGACTTGCTAGAGAAGCAGTTAAATTAGTCTTTGAAAATCTTCTTAAATCATATAATGGAGATTTAGAAGCAAGAGAAAAGATGCACAATGCTGCAACAATTGCAGGTATGGCATTTGCATCAGCATTCCTTGGTATGGACCATTCCATGGCACATAAAGTTGGAGCAGCATTCCATCTTCCACATGGTAGATGTGTAGCAGTATTATTACCACATGTCATTAGATATAATGGACAAAAACCAAGAAAGCTTGCAATGTGGCCAAAATATAATTTCTATAAGGCAGACCAAAGATATATGGAACTTGCACAAATGGT